CACGGACTGCTAGGAGAACAAACAATTTCGTCCCTGGAGAGGATGGAACAAGGCTGTTCCTTGGATTCTGAGGTTTTGTCTGAGATACTTTGGGCATGTGGCAAGGGACCAGTCCTTGGAGAGGGACACCATGCTTTGGAGGATGGAGGAAAGTTCAAGAGAGAAAAACCCTTGATGATATGGATTGATTCAGTGACTGGGGTAATCGGGATGGGTATATCAAAGACAATAAAATGGGCACAGGATAGAGCAGGGTTTAGGGTTGTTGTACATAGGGTCGCTATGAGTCACAGGCGACTCAACAGCTCATAACAACAACAGCAGCAACAATTCATTCTAGAGAGAAACCGGCCTCCTTGCTGAAATCTTTTCATGATTAGGCTGAAAGCCTGTCAGTCTTGCATAGGAAAAGATCTTGTGTCTCTTTCTGGTGGACTAGTTTTGTACTGCCTGGAATGATGGTGAACCACTGAGGCTTTACTGAGCCATTGGATTTGGTTGCAATTGTTATAATTTTGAAAAAAATTACAAAAGGTCAGCAGGGTCAGTGGGAAATGGATAGTTGTCTAATCTCTGAAATGACCAAAACATTGAAGAATATGGACCCCCCAAAAGTCCAATTGTACCTAATTTACTGAGAAAATGTCGAACTGAAAAGGATAAACATGCTTTTACTGAAGATCAGAAATGAACAGAACAGTTATAGAAAAGTGAATGGGAGTTTGAGTTTTTCTCATGTGTACTTTAATTCTGAGACTCTTGAAACTGCCCTTTACACTTAAAAATGGTAAAGACAGCCCTATCTAGGACCATACTTTTTAAATTTTTTAAAATTTTATGTAGGTTTATTTACAAAGTTTGAATATATTGTTTTTCACACCGGATCATTCCCATTTCCTTCACCCCTCCACCCGTCAGGCTGTGTGACCCTATGATTAACTCCCATTCCTTTCCCTCCTCAACCCTCTGCTTCCACCCTCCCCTCCTTGGATCCTCACACTCATTCTACAATAATGGTTTTATACAGTATTTGTCATTAGGGGACTAAGTTCACTCAGAATAATGCTCTCCTGCCCCTCCCAAGTTAGGACCATACTCTGATCACCTTCTCTCTCCCTCAAATGGTAGTTTGCCAAATGATACAAACTGAGTTATTGCATAGCTTCTGTAATAAATCCCCAAGTTTCCCCATCCCACACTTGGATCCCAATACTTCTTCACAGAATCTAAAGCTGGAGATGGCATGATGGAGGTCGTAGAGAGAACAGATATAAAGTTAGCAAAGGACCTTAGTCCTTTGAGTAGCATTGACTCTACCACTCGCTCGATGGGTTACCCTTACCATGTGTAGTGGAAAAGGAGAATGGTAACATCTTTTCTACCCTAGTTGTAAGGATCAATGAGACAGAAGTGTTGGTAAAGTGTAAAACTGCAGACAAATGTAGGTACCTCCACAGTTACAGTGGACCTTCATGCGTGGTATCCAAACTGCCTTATTTATTATCTCCACTTAAATTAATCCACAAAATTATCTATGACGTCATTCATTCCAACCTCATGACAATGTGAGAATGTCTGATTTGGCTCACTACAACCCAGGCAAACTCAGCATTAGATTGGCTTTGTTTTATTTTGATAAGCCATTGATATTTATTTGCTTTTACTCTAACTTCACAGATAACACCGTGTGACTAGGGATTGCACAGGCCAGAAATAAATCGCACTCTGTAATGCAAAATGTTTCCGTATCATATTCAATGTGGTCATGGGTTAGTAAAATAGTTGTTGTTACTAGAGTAAAGGTGTTAAATATGTTAATTACTTTTATTTGAGTTGCACCAGGATTTTTGGTCCCTAAGGCCAATGGAGAACTACTCTCCTTTAAAAGCTGCCAAAGCCACAGGTTTAAGTGTGGGGTGAAGAGTAAGCAGCTCTGCTGTCTTTCTCAGTGTATAAGAAGATTTATGCTTCTATTTCTATGTTCACATTAAACTATATTCACAAAATTGTTGTGCCTAAAATAGCAACAAGAAAGCTAGAGAAAATGAGTGTGTGTTGGGGAGAGGGGGAGGGGAAGACAGGAAGGGGCAGGGGAGGGGAAGGACAAGGGGAGTTATGGAGAAAGTGTCTCAAATGTAGGAGATAAGCATTGGAGTGAAAAAGGAAACAAAAACTATAGTTTGGATGAAGGAGGGAAACAAAATTATAGGCTGAAAAGGAAAATCCCACAAGGCTTGGAGGAAAGGAGTAGCACTGCCAAACCAGCACTTGGTTCTAACCCACCAGCTACCCCATAGGTTAGACAGTCTCTCATGAAATTTACTGCTTCTAAAAACTTGCTCTCAAAATGTGGCTAACTCTGAGAAAAACGAGAATCCCAGAACTCTTGATTCTGATAATGTGAATCCTATACTTGGACTAGGAGTCAGTCATCAGGACAGAGCAAGGAAACACTGCATGGTTCAAACTTGGGAAGGATGTAAATCAGTTTGTGTCCTATCTCCATACCTTTTCAGTCTATATGCAGGACAGAGGAGGCTGGCCTGTATGAGGAGGAATGTGGCATCAGGATTGGAGGAAGACTCATCAACAATCTGAGTTATGCATATGCCACAATACTGCTTGCTGAAACTGAGGAAGACTTGATACACTTGCTGCAGAGGGTCAAGGACTGCAGCCTCAAATATAGATTGAAGATCAACATCAAGAAAACAAAGCTTCTCACCACTGGGCCAATTGGTAGCATCATAATAGATGGTGAAGAGATTGAGACTGTCTGACAGCTTCAGTTTGCTTGGCTCCACAATCAACATTCTTGCCACCAGCAGCCAGAATATTAAAAGACATATTGCGATGGGAAAGTCTGCTATCAGAAACCTCTCCAAAGTACCTAAGACCAACAATGTCAGTCTGGAGACTAAGGTGCGCCTGATACAGGCCCTGGTCTTTGAAATCACTTGCCATGCGTCAGAGAGCCCGACAATGACTAGAGATGATAGAAGTAGAATTGACGCCTTTGAGCTGTCATATTGGAGAAGAGTATTGAATATACCATGGATTGCTAAGAAAATGAACAGGTTCACACTGGAGAGGGTGAAGCCAGGCTGCTCCTTGGAGGCAAGGATTCTGAAGCTCTGCCTGACATACTTTGGACATGTTGCAAGGAAGGACCAGTCCTTGGAGAGGGAAATTATGGTTGGGAGGGTAGAGGGACAGTGCAGGAGAGGAAGACCCTCCATGAGATGGATTGATTCAGTGACTGGGGTAATGAGGGTAGGTATGTCAGAGACAGTAAGATTGGTACAGGAAAGAGCAGGGTTTAGGGCTATTGTACATAGGGTCACTATGAGTCATACGCAACTTGATGGCATATAATAACATTGTATCTAAACAGGTTTGGGGTTTTCTTTTTTTACATTTTAAGTAATTTTAAAGATATTTGGGATTTACTTCTTCCTTAAGCATAATTATGCTCCTGCTGAGCTGTTACCAGGCAATGTTGTGAATATTAAACATATGTAAAATTGTTAATTGTCCTAGGCTACCAGATGGTTAACAGAGTTAAAAAATGTATGGCACACATCACATATGTTGATAACAAATATAATGTAACAGTTAATTCTTAGAATTTTTTTTAAGTAAAAAAAATGTTTCCTGTAACATTAAGTTAATTTTAAAAGCCCTGCTTTAAAAACAAAACAAAAAATAAAAGCCCATGCTTGTCGTTATCCCATACACTTACTGCAGTGTCCTGGTGACTTAGCAAACCTCTTAACAATCTGAACAAAATTAGGATTTTGTGTTTCTGTATTTACAGAAAGGGCGTATCAGGCTGACAAACTTGATAATCTAAAAAAAAAGTGAGGGGGGAAGAATAAAGTGTTCTCATTTCAAAGCTTCAGAAATAAAGGTTATTTACTATGCAGACGTAGACTTCTTGTTAAGTTGTTTCTGAGAGAGCAAATGAGAAAAACATGGCCAGAGTTAGAGGTTACTCAATCAGGTTGAAGCTGAGACTTTCATTCCAGCAGCTCCTGTTCTCAAAATTATATCTGATAATGTTCAAAAGTCTAAACATATTTTAGTTCAAAAAGGTACTCGGCTCTTAGATATAAAATGGCACTAAGCTTCCAAATATCAACCAGTTTACTCCCTCTCTTCAAATGATGTCTTTGTATTCAGAGTAATCTGCCACTCAGTACCACCATATTTAAATTTGTGAGGACTTGAAACTTTGAGCTGGAAGGTTTGCTTTTCATTTTCCTGTGCATAATCACTAGACTGGGCCATTAATAAAGGGGTTGGTGCACTGGCTAGTGTTGAGACCTATTATTTAGACAGAGTAATGGCCACTGGGCGACCTGACTGCCTGTACAAGGGCAATGCAAATTGCGTCTTCACTGTGCAGACAAATGTGTTAGCTCACACAAGGAGGAAAAGATTCCAGTCTGCACTTGGAAATAAGGCATAGCATTCTCCTTTCTCAATAATTTGAGAAATATTTATGGTTACGTTCCTTCACCCCGTGCACCCGCCACCCCAGCAGCTACAGAATATTATTTTATGTAAAGATGGGCCTATGGAAGCTTCAAATTGGAGAAATCCCATTGAAAATGCCCATCAGAGACAGGAAGGAACTTGAAATGGTAGCTGTGAGGATGTCCACGTGGGTGGGCAAGCACATGTTGCTGCAGAGCAGAGGAAGTGGTCTACCGCGATTTCTTCATGAGTGTGAGGTCTTTATACACTCATCCTCAAGGGAACTGTTTTAAATAAAAAGAAGATGACACACATTCTCCAGCTAGGCTTCCTAAGTGTTTGAGGAGGCTTGCCACTTTTTTTCAAAACATGAGGTTACTCTGGGGGATTTTTCCAAAATTGTCAACAATTCCATTTTTAAACTTGGTCCTTCCTCCCACTCTGAGACAGATGGCAGGCAGCCCGAGTTATAATTGGTCTAGTAGGAGATGTAAGTGATTTCTGACCGTGCTGACTCCTACCTGACAGTGGAAGACGTATTCTGGTGTGGTTTTCTTAAACTTCATGTTCCAAACCAAGGCTACTCCATCTGGTTCATGAGGAGCGTCTTCATTGTTGTTGTAGGAGGCCACCATCAGTTCCGGGTACTAAAGGGCAGACATCACAAGGGTGGAGCGTGTCAAGAGGACAGCATGAGGCAGTTTCTTACACACACACACACACACACACACACACACACACACACCCATTAATAGGTGCTTTCCTTTAATGTTGGGGCAACCTTAATATCATTTGACTGCCTCAACCTACTGCAATGTGGACTGACTGTAATACTCCACGTGTGCTTGCCATGGCCATCAATAATGATAAACTGTGAGGTCTGTCTGTGTTATTGTGTTATCTACACTTTGGGCTACCTCCTCTGTGTCCTTTGTCTTCTATACTGGCCTACCCCCTCTCCTCTCCTCTCCTCTCCTCTCCTCTTTTCTTCCCTGGGCACTTTTTGTTCTTGTGGGGTGTCCCCCTCTTTTCCATCTCTATAATGTACTCTACAGAGGCCTGATTTCAGTCATCGCTTCTCCAAGTTCTCCCTAGGTAACCTCATCTACTCCAGTGGCTTTAATAAACAGTGCTGTGGTGATGCTTCTCAAATGTATAGGCTTGATATCTCTCCTAGTTGTACCTTCTACTGGATATTTCTGTCCATAGGTACATCAGATGCAACAAAATATACGGCTCTTCCTGAATGCCTTGTACTGACAATCCTCTACCTGTCCAGGCCAACTCAACTCAAGCTCACTGTCACTAAGTTAATTCTGACTCATTAGGACCCTGAAAGACTGAGTAGAGAGACCCCCATAGGATCTTCAAAGGCCGAGTAGAGAGACCCCTATAGGATCTCTAGGGCTGGGAATCTTTATGGAAGGCGAATGCCATCTTCCTCCCCTAGAGCCGCAGATGGGTTGAATGGCAGACTTCTGGTTAGCCGTTAGAGTGCTTTAATCACGGAACCAACCAGAGCTTCTAGCGGCCCAGCAGCCCAGGTCAGATAGTCTCTACTCATTTCCACTGTTGACTCGCTTCCACACCCTACCCCCACACCGTGCACCACTCCGCTCTCAATTCCTTTCATAGGCATGCTTTCTTTGCGTCCTTAGGATCAGAACCTGTTTCTTGACTGGAATGAAGTTAATGGACCCTTAGACGACTTTCTGATTCTATCCTTGGCAGACTTCATCTCCTGTACTTTCGTTCATATGATTTTACAAAATATACATTCGGCCAGGTCACTCCTCCACTTGAAACATTTCAATGGCTCCCCATTTAATGCAATGTTAAGATCAGGAAGGATCCTTTATGATCTATCATTTTCTATCTCCCCTGTTTAATCGTCTATGAGCTGCCCCACCCTGATGCCCCAACCTTTCTGAGCAAGCTGTGAGATACCAGGAACAACTTCTACACCTCTGAGCCAGGCATTATCTCTGATGACCTGTGTGTGTTGTTCATTTTGCTAATTCATCCTTTCAGACTCAATGCAGGCATCAAGTTCCCCCCACAACCCTAAACCATCAAAATCCCCTTGCCTCTAATGGGTAATGGGCTCCAATAGTATTATATAGCTCTTTATATGAAGCATTTGCCAAATTGTACTATTGTTTCCTCTCTGAATATAGGGATTTTCCCCCCCTCTCACCTCTGAAATTAGATTCTAGCAATTCCTAGGATATGATAAAAGTGTGCCAAAATCTGCTGGATGACAAAAGGTTTACTTGGATGCTCTGGTTTATGCCAATAACTCCAAGCTCAGTGGAAGGTCCTTATATTTAATCCCTTGTTGTCAACAATTACAGTAATTAAAGGCTTACAGTCAAGAAACATAACCAATGAAATAACAATGAAGATTTTTCTGATGAGAAAAGGTGTTAGATATGCCTGCTAACCTTCCATGAACTCTGTCCTGAGTGTTATTAAATAGATCTTGTGGGAAGCATTTTCTGAGTCAGACACATTTCATGAAAGCATTCCTAGGAAAATCCTGGGCTTTTCATAACTGAGCCCAATAATAGTCACATTAGGATTGCAAACTCATTGCCTTTAAGTCCAGACCTACTCATAGCTTACCCTCCAGTGGGTTCTCAGAGACTGTGAATGGGCCATCTTTCTCCTCTAGAGCACCTGGTGGTTTCGAACCACTGCCTTTGGGTTGGCAGTGCAACTCCCTACAGACTAGGTCTCCTGATTAGGATTCTAATCACCACCTCACTCTTTTATTAGAAATAATATCATTTTCCCACATTTTAATTATGTTAAACATATATACACTAAAACTCACTGCCATTGAGTCATTCTGGCTTATTGCAAACTGCTGTGGATTTTCTTAACAGGAGAAGGTTGTCTGTACTTCTGCCATGGAGTCCCTAATGGACTCACACTGCTGGAGACATGCAGGCTTTTGGTTAGCAGTGCAGTATGCTATGGACTATACCCCAGAGCTCCAGACACACAGCTATAGATACAAGCATGCATACGCAGCAGGATATTGGCCTCATAAATGGAAACACTGGGTTGTTGTGGTGTTTTTTTCTTTCTTTTCTTTCTATCAATAATACATCAACATGAAGTTGTCTACTTGGCTTTATTCATTCCTTCAGTGCCCTCAACTTTAGAAAGCTGCAGACAGTTAACAACTTGCTGGTTGCTGGAGAGGAAGTAGAAGCATACAATCATACACATGTATGTGGTCACCAGGGGAAGTAATCATTCTTTATTAGAAAACACTTCTCAGCAGATGAATCAAAGGCCTATTAAGAGCGGCCTTTGATTCAAAGCCCATTCAAAGAAACTAACATCCAGATAAACACAGTAGTCTCCAGACTGTCCATCTGAAGTTTAACTATGTCGTATGTGAGAAGGCAACTCTATAAACATTGACGCTGCTACCACAGGGGCCAATGAGCAGCCAGATGTGTCTGGAATAACATCCCACAGTCGTACATCTGGGTCTCATCGCTGGCACCCACTTGCAGCTTTTCTTTTCTCATTTAAAAAATATTTTACATTATTTGGCTTTAAAGTTTCTTTACAAACCTGAGGGAGTTTGAGTAGGCTACCAGAGAAATGTCTTCAGGGTAGTTTCTAGAACTAGGATCCTAAGGACTAAAGATACTGATTTAAATCCTATTTGATACAAGTTTTTATGATTTCAAAGTTTCATCTAGTATATTTTTCTCATTGTTTGTTTGTTTAAACATGAGTCAGCCACATTTTTCTGCCCTCTAAAGAAAAGTTCCAACAATTTTTTAAACCATAAATGTTGTTAAAATTATGATTTTAAGGAGACCATGAGTAATCATTATGTTTTCGATAATTTTATTGTATATATGGCTAGATTATACATTTAACACAGGGTAATTTTACCTGGAGATTTCCAGATCCAGCTTGGTTTGATCTTTAAGAAAAATTTAACTTTGTTTTTAAAGGAGGGGGAGAGAAAGAGACTAGTACTTTTTAACTGTCCTTTTATGTACTGACCACTCAGCTAAGGGTTAATTCTAATCCTTGCACCCCCTCAACAACAAAAGCTACTACTAATGATTCAAGTATTCCAGAGATGATGGGATGGCACAGGATAGGAGAGGGTTCAGCTCTGTTGTTCAGAGGACACTATGAGTCATACTTAACTCAAAAGCACTTAAAAACAATAGCAACAGCTATTATTACTCCTCTTACTACTAAGAAGCACTTTGAGGTTGTTTTTATGTCTTGGCAGCTTTATTTTACTCTAAGTACACAAATAAATTGTTGTTATGTATTGTTGACTATGACTTATAGTGATGTTATGCACAATTATCTGTGTACCCTGCTTGTTCCTGAGCCAGTATTACTATCTCTGACACAGCTAGCCTCATCACTTTAGTTATTTTGTCAATCTATTTAATCTGGGGCCTTTTTCTCCTGCACTATCTCTCGACCCTTCCAAGCATGACATCCTTCTCCAAAGACTGGTCCCTCCTTACTACATGCCCAAAGTATGCAAGATGGAGTCTCAAAACAATTTAACTTATTTACTACTGTTAACAAATGTGTTAGCTAGTTATTATTATCCGCATTTTATAAAAGAGGAAACTTAAACCAAGGCAAGACAGGCAATTTGTGTGGGGACAGAAAGATAGTGAATCCGTGCTCTTTACAAAAACTACTCTGGTAAGTGTCATGAAAATGACTCAGTAGAGTAGAAACTGTAAGTAAGGAGACCAGTTAGGAAGCTATTTTGTTACATAAGGAAGAAGTAGAGGGCATGGTATAAACTGAGAGATTAGTGCATGTTCAACGGATTTTTTAATTGCTTACCTTTTCCTTTTTGAATCCACTAATTCAGTGTCAAGGAGTCATTTTTTTCTACTGTACATTTGATTTTATTTAGCATCTGTAATGTCAGAACCCCAACAATTGGCTTTTCTAGCCATTGCATTAGCCCCTGTTGTGGAGGCATGGTTTCCAAGTACCTTAACTGAAGATATATGGTTTTGCAAATCAGCAATATCTATGGGACAAAATAAGAACATACTTTCCACACTGTGAGAGACAGTGGAAGAGGGACTGTGAAGACACTGTGAGATAATGGTGGTGGAAAGAGGATGAAGACACGGTGGCATTGCTGTGAAATAACTGGCAAGATGTAACCAGAGAAACCTTGAAGATGGAGCCACAATTAAAGGTTTTGCTTGTTCGATGACTATAGGGAAAGCTAACTTGTAACTGCTTTGAAATAGTTTTCTGGATGTCTGAGGAAATCAGAGGTTTATTTCTGCTGCTGAACTGAACCTAAACTTTCTGTTTGAACTAACTGAGCAACTATGTTAATCTGGCTTGGGACTGCTGAACTAAACCTGGACTTGCAGTGTGTTATATCCTTTGCCTAACTTCCTAACTCCCAAACTATTTCCCTAATAAACCTCAAAACCATGAGCAAAGTCTGTGAGTCAATTTGCAATGAACATTGGACCCAAAGATTTATAGAAAAAGTGCAGGAGCATGAGAAGTGGCATGTCTGACCATGTAACTGTTCGTATGGTACTGTAGATGTTATTGATTGGGACAGTTCCCTTTTATGAAGCATGTAGAGTTCAGATTCAGCCACCACTATGTTCCATCTAGTCCTTTTGCAGCAACTAAATGAGCTGTCAGAAAATACTGGGGTTTGTATTTCAGATGACTTCACGGCTGGCAGCCACAACTGTCACTTGAAGGAGTATATATATGGCAGGAGTAAGATAATGATTCCAGTTTGGGACACTTCTCAAATCTGTTATATAGTATATGAATGGTATTATTGACTAACTGTGCTGAAAAATGTCCAATTTTAAATAATTTATCAATACCCAAATTTCTTTCAATGAATAATGTTTGATGACTATTTTTCAAATATTGCAGGGTTAGATCTGTTCTAAGAAACTCAACAGAACAAAGCGTAGCTGTCTAGAAGTCTTAGATCTTCCTTCATGTTTCTGCCCTCTTTTACGTTTTGTTCTTCTCAGAAAATTATCCTAGGCATAGGTACACTATTGCTCCCACCTGTAAGACTGTCCATCTCTTCTTCTCTCTTACTATCATTATTTATGCACATCTAGATCCATTCAGAACTTTCTTATGTCCAGAGTCAGGCAAAACTTGTCCTTTGACCTCATGAAGGTATGGCAATGCAGGGTTCCAAGTCTTAGTCACATGTCCCACATGAAATAATTTTTCCAGAACGGAAATCCTCTTTCTCACTGTATAAGTGGTCAAGATTGTTGCTACATGCTGTGTAGTTGTAACCGACTCATAGCTGACACTCCAGTGGGTTTTCAGAGACTATGCATTCACGGGAAGATATGTTTATCTTTCTCCCATGGATCAGCTGGTGGATTGGACCACATGCCATTGGGTTAGCATCACAACTCTTGACCTACCAGGTCACCGATGGAAAAGGATAATTGTGCTTCTCCATGGTGGTAGTTCAGCCTTTTACAATTTTTCTTCCTGCAGGGGAGTCACCACACAGGACTTCATGTGGAAATAAAGCCACAGGTAACAGGGTATGTTACACACAGAGGTGCAGCAGGCACTGAGAACTTGCCCTACAAAGTCTACAGGGAACTTGGCCAGCAGACTAGGAAACAAAGAGTTTCCTTTGTGAAATGTGTCAGATAAGACTTCTAAGTAATTTCCAGACACTGAACAAGTGAACCATCTGAGTTAAGTGTTTCCTCAGGCTTAGATCTGATTTCTGAGCACACCACCCAGTGTTCACAGACCACCCACACACCGACTGGTGGCAAGCACAGGGCAAACTTGGCTTGGAGAAGTTGTGACAGGATCAGATTATGCACTGTATGCTTTGTTGTTTGGTAAGAAGATTCAAGTGTACAGGCCGCTCACCTACTTGGTGGCAAGTGACAGTTCAATTGTGTAATATTATATGACAGTGCCTTTATTCTCTAGGAGGATTAAATAAGGCCCTTCATATCACTATAGATAAGATATGCCTAGATGGCCCATTTCTTCCTCCTTCTGTCTAAATCTCAGGCTTCAGAGAAACTCTGTTATGACCAGGGATACATCCCAGCTTCTGCTACACTGAGAGCACTCGTTATCTACCTTAGTTCTCTGGAGAGCTCTTAGTTTCAGGTTCACAAACTCGTTATGATTAAAGCATATGCCTTGAATGCTTAAAAGTCTTTGATTCAAATTTCCTCCTCTATCACGACCTGAGTGTTTCTTAGCAAGTTACTTCATCTCTCAGAACCTTGGTTTCTTCAACAATAAAGTGGAGATGATAATGATTACTTCCTAAGATTAACAGGGATTTCCAGTAGCCAGTGGTAAGAAGCTGCACTGGAATCTCAAAAGCATGAGGTTTGAATCCACCTGCTGCTCCATGGGACAAGGACGGGCAATCTCCTCCCATGCAATTCACCGCCTCTGAAAACCCTCCAGAGGATCCACTATGGGTCAGTTCCAACTCAACAACACACAACAATTATAACCTATGATTTTTATGTGTGAAATGGGATAATAACATTTTCAGAGTAGTCGGCATAGCATTTAGCAGCTAAAGTTACAAAGTAAATGATAGTTGCTATTATTATTTCCAATAAAAGTAAAGGCCACCAGAAAAAAAAAAAGAAACACTGTTATGTCAAAGTGTCCAGATTTATCACATATCAGAAGAACTTAAAAATGTAATCAGCAACTTCCAAGAGAACTCTTAGAAATGAAAGTTCCCACTCCCAAGAAAGGGAACATTCCTTGAAGTAGTAATTAGTATTAATTTCACAAAAAGCAAAGTCAAAAGACAAGAGACGTAGAATAAAGCTACACATTTCAATGAGAACGTTTCTTAAAGAGTAGAAATATTCTAGATGCCACATGCCCCATCCACATGTTCCTCAAATAGACTCTCAACAGCTCCCATGAGCTATGTCCTCTTGTGTGGCGGAGACCAGGAGCTTAAGTGCCTACATAAATCAGGAATCTCCTCCTCACCCCACCCTGTGCCACTGACCTTTATGAGGTCAAAGGACAAGTTTTGCATGCTTCTGGACATAAGAAAGTTCTGAACGGATCTAGATGTGCATAAATAATAATAGTAAGAGAAAAGGAGAGAAGGATAGTCTTGCAGGTGGGATTAATAGTGTATTTATCCCTAGGATAATTTCCGGAGAAAAACAAAACATAAAAGAAGGCAGAAAGATGAAGGAAGGTCTAAGACACCTACATGGTTGGTTGGTTGGTTTTTCTTTGTGTTTCACTGAGGAAATTATCTTGTTCACAAACACCACTCCCTATTCCCTCTGATGCTTATAGAATTCCTACTTCTCTGGTGTTATTATGTCTTTGCCATTACAGGAGAGAATATCATCTGGTTGTTAAGATTATGGGCTCACATGTGAAGATTTTGGTTCAAATTTTGGTCACATCACAAATGGATTGTGCTTCTGTCTATGTGAATTAACTGTAGAATACTTGACATGTTTTATTACCCCTGAGCGAATATTAAGTCATAGGAGCCCGAAATGTGTCACTATCTAACTCTGTTCCACAGGCTGCTCAATAGTTGACATTTTAGAAGCAGATTGTTAGGCCTTTCTTCCAAGTTCCTTCTGTGTGGACTTGACCCACTAATCATTAAGTTATTAGCTTATCGTGTTAACCATTTGTACCAGGAACTCCAATGCTTGTCAGAGCTTCACATAAATGGTCCCCTGATTTAGCTGGCCATTCCACAAATACGCTTTCACTTTGAATGCTATACTAAATAGTTAGATATAAAGCAATAGGAAACTTTATTCCAGAGAGCGAAATGATCAGATTTGGATTTTATGTTAGAATAAAATGGTAGATGTCTTAAGACAATATTGTAACAAGACTGTACAGAGGTAGAAAGACCAGTTAGAAGGTTAAAAATCTTACATGTGTAAAAAAAGAAATCCTTAAGTTAAGATAGTATGAAAGATATTGGAAAGGAAAGGATTTGCGATACATATGAGTGGAGAAGTGTACAGTCTTGGTGACAGTTTGCTGAATAAAATAAAGGAAATTGGTAGGGTTTATTATAGGTTTTGTATGTTAGGCCCCTGAGGATATTCTGGTAATGCTGACAGAATATAATGAGTGAAAAAGAATTTGGGGTATGTGTAAGTAAAAAAATAAAATTTTTACATAATTAATTTCAGATTATATTGAACACTTGAGCAGGTTAGTCAAGTTTACAGAGTGAAATTCAAAAGAGAGAGTGAGACTATTGATAAACAGGTTGTGCATGTGGTGGATCAATCTACAGAGTGAAGAAAACCTCTCAGGAGAGGATATGGGAGAATAACGGAGAAGAACAGAGGTAGGACATGACTATGAGATCCCCAACAAAAGGGTGGCATAGGATAATGTATGAATGATCATTGGAAACACAGTATGAATGTAGGAATGTGTGAAATGCAATGTACATGAACAATATATAGTGTATATGAATTTTGTATGCAAACCAATATAAAAGAAAAAGAAACTGATTGCCCATCCTTCTCCCACAGAGCAGCTTGTGGCTTTGAACCACATGCCTTCAGGATTGCAGTGCAGCTTCTTGCCAGCAGGCCACCAGGGCTCAGATAAAAATAAAGTGGAGAGGAAACAAAATTCTTAAACACAATATGGCAGGGGGAAACAAAGAACTACAATAGGAGGTTGTAGAATGAATAGATAGAGATTGTTTTGAGAAGTGTAGTGAAGCCAGGCAAGTTGTACCACAGAGCTTAAGGCAGATGAAGACGTAACAAAAGTTCCTGGGTTTGACAATTAAGAAACCACTGGTGACCTTAATGAGGGCAATGCAAATAGTTTAGTATATATCTATACCTAGAAACCTTAGGAAAATGAGAAAGAAATGCAAATAAACTTGGAGAAACAAAGTAAAAAAGTGAGTGAATGAATATATTCAGAATGGTAGAACAATCGTCTTTATATTCAGTTGCAAGGCTTCCTAAAATCCCAATTTGTCCCATGACAATAACAATTCTTACCTGGAGAGACCAGTCCATACAAGTGACCACTCGATGCTTGGACCAATGCTCATCATAGAACTGACGATTGAAAGAAAGGTTGGCTCCAGCCTGAATATCCCTGGGAAGAGGTAAATACCAGAGACAAATGTGATGCCTTATTATTACACTGTTAATAATAAAACAGTGAATTGTCAAAATAATGTTTAAGGTAGAACTCTTAATTCATGCAACAAACTGACCATAAAGATGGTATTTATGATTTAAAGAGGATCTCATGTCTTATGAAAACCCTCTCTAACTTTGTTTTATATTTTGTTCCAAGGCTAATAATATAAAAGGTTACATGTGTTTCGTGTTGCTTCCTGACCTGTCTGTACTAATCTTCACTCCCTAATAGGCTCTATTGTGAATCAAGGTATGTTAGAAATCCCATTGTTATGAAAGCAAGAAATGCACTGTTAGTGATTCTTTGATCTCAATATTTTCTCTTTTGGCCTTAAACTAGAGATGATCTACATGGCTCTATTTACCTGAGAATTCTGACTGACTGCAGTCTCTGACTTCTGGGTGAATAAGAAGTTATAATTTTCCCCATGAAACAAATGCTGCAGGGGATAAGGGATATAGCAAACGCATTCCAGATGTTGGTAATTTCTGTCATAGACCCACACAGTATTGGGCCCTGGAAGATGGCACTTTTTAGACAGTTTATCTTCTAGTTGACAATCAACTGCCCATCACATTCACGTCTCACCATTTTTCACTGGGCATGTACTTCCTCTAAAGGAATAGATGTTTTTAAAGAAAACAGCTTGTAGTATATTGTGTCTGCATATGAAGCTACCTAATAGTCTGGGCTTCTAGTCAGAAACTCCTCTATTCTCACTTTTTCTCTGTCTGTTTACTTCATTCCTCATCTCCATGGCTGCAACCCTATACCACTAGTCTATACAACTCTGAGTAGCTCACTTTCAGAAAATTTAATGGGTCTCTAACTAGTTAGCACATTGAAACATTTTTCCCCCTTCCTCCTGGTAACCTTCTTCAGTTCTAACACTACAGCCTCAGGTGGGAGATACATGCACCCAAGTCCTGGGAGGACCATAGGATAACACTTGGTCAGACACCCAGAGAGAAACAGGGCTCAGCCACTAACTGAACTACTCAGTGAACAATGAATCCTTTTCAAATCAAAATGACATTGAAGAACTTGTAGATTCCAAATATTACTCTCTTCAAACAAGTCTTAAAGATGATGCCAAGTTTGAGAATATTTTTCAGAATTCACTTTTGTAGCTGTTTTCAGAGCCACTTTTAGCATGATGGTCTGCCTTGTCTTTTGAGAATATATTAGAATTTTAGAAATAGTAAAAAGTGAAGTCTGAGGAGGAGAATAAATGATCTCACCATTTCATTGTGTTCTTGGCCAAAAAAAAAAAAAATCAAACTGGTTAAAAAAGCAGATGTATCTATTTTTTTTTCTTCTGTCTTTCCCCCATAAGTTTCAAGAAATGGTTTTTCTTATCCCAGGGAATAAGGCAGCCAGTACCTTGCCAATACATGTGTCAACACAAATGACAAAGGAAGTCATTGGGGGTCATTTGCTTTTACTGATGAGTTGGGTTGGGTTTTTTTTTTTAAACCTAGTGCGCCCTTGCACATGTGTTTTCTAAAAGGTATAAACATAATCTACTGCTACCTCCCAAAATTCCTTTTCTGCTCTCTTCCATATCAATTAAGATCTCTCATGTTTTGTTTTTGTCTTAATCACTCATGTCTGCTTGCTCAGATATCAGGAATAAATCTACTAGAGAAAATGCAATTTTTTCCCCCCTGCTTATCAACATATTTTCTCAGAGAGACAATACACACGACTCTGCCAAGGACGAAAATGTACAAATGGCTCTATCACCCGCAGTCTGCCTCAGATATCAAGTTCAAAAGCATTTCACTGTAAGCCAGAGGTTATAACCAAAGCACCAAGTGAAAGCTGTTTAGCAAGATGAATCTTGAAATGTAATCTTCTGTCTGGTCAATCTATAAATGGATTTAGAGTCAAAACTAAGTCAATATGATTAGGCATTATATGTATGATAATAATTTGGAACAAGGGGTGCATTGTGGGGTTGGTTGGGGAGTGAGAGGAAAAAAATGTTGAAAAATTAAAAAATAATTAAAAAATAACAAAAATGCACAATTTGATGGGTAGGAGGGTCAGGGAAATGGGAAGGAACTAGTGTGAGAAACAATGTATTTGGATTTTGTAAAAAACCTAGTATAATAATAAAAAAGAAAACAAAAAAGTTTAAAACCAAAAGTTAAAAAAACCCTTAAGTCAATAAGTTTTAGTCACTTTAAAAGAAAGGCATGCCACAAATAAAGCACAAACTAACCCATCTTTTTCTTCTAATTCTCGACCACTGTAGTCAAAAAAGATGTCAGAATCTTCTGCCAATGCTCGTTCAATTACCCTTATTGTACGATCAAAAAAGATGAGGAATTCCTCTGAATGCAGGATCTGCTGTTTCTCTTCTTCTGTCAGCTCCCGTGGAGGGGCTTATAATGTAAACAAGAGATTGTTAAGAAATCCTGAGAAGAAGGACAATTAAAACTTTTTAGGAGGAAATCAACTCTTCAAAGAGATGGGATATAAGAGCTTATCAAAGGAGTGATAAGACAAGTAAAATAAACCACTGAGAGTTAATACTGACTCTAAACAATTCCCTAATTCACAACACAAGTTTCCTTTGCACATTTATAAAAACTATTTCATATATGGCATATTGCCATTGTGATGATTTTTCTTTAAAAAGACGACAAATGAAAATTGTTCTATGTTCAGATTTTAGCAGTAAGTTCTGAACTATTTCTTCAAATAATACACAATAGAGAAAAAAGTTAAACAGTACATATATTAAAAGTCTACAAAACTATACATATATAAGACATTATTATAAAACTACACATATAAAATAATTAAGAATTATTCATAGTTACAACTACATATTCCTTAATCTTTTTCTTCTGATAAAGTTAATTTTATATTAGATGGTGAGTCTGGAAAGCAAATTAATGGCTAAATAGGCTTCACTAAAAAATGAAAACATATCATTCCCCATTCTTTTCACTTAAAGAGGCTTCTGTTTTTAAGTGGCACATGGAATAAACAAATAAATCAGCAATAAAGCTTCTTAATTTATTTTCTCCCTTGTTTTTCCAGAATAATTAATCTTTACAAATAAAATTTGACCATTCAAAATGACACAAGGAGATGAAAAAACTTGCAATATGTCATTATATCTGAAAGTGAGTCATCTCACTTATGCTAAGGTTACAAAAAATAGTCTTTCAAAAGAAACCTTTTCATAAAACTACCAAGAGCAGAGAATGTCAGATGATATTTTGTGGTTCTTCAGGAACCTTGGTTCAACTCTTGATAAAATTTGATCAAATTTCAGTAGAAGCAGAAGATCTCTACAGTTAACTCAAGTGAGTGGAATGCATTACATCACAGGTGGTATCCCTGGGGGAAATACTTACAGGCTTTCCCTAATAATTGCACAATCATCCTTGGACCCATGACAGGTTTCTCCTTGGCCACATCAACAGAAGACTCCTTAAAGTACAGTCCTTGTGGCATCATGTAATACTTAGATTAATGTTATCTCAAGATCGCTGTCTAGGGAAATCTGGACGGTCCAAGAAGCCATTCTGTACAGCCTTGGCAATAGCTCTCTTATTTTTAATCCTGCTCCTTTTCCAGCCCCCCTCTTCCTCCCAGTCCATGAGCCAATGGGTCTGGAGAGGACCTCGAGAAACTGTACTTGTATAAGAAACTAGGCTGATACTGATGCAGCTGGTTCACATCTTGAGAAACGCTCTCCAGGGAAAATATTCTAACAGAGCATGATTCATCCACAATAGTAGAGGATCCTCTCCAAAAGTAGTCTAACTCGATTGTTTCTAACTCTCCAGCTGTGCAGATGCACATTCTGACTCTCCAAGAATCCTCATCAAATTCTGTTGGGCAATATTGCCTCAACACTGGTTTGATAAATATTAATACAAGCAAATGATTGCTTCAGACTTTGAAGAGTCACCTGCAGAAACATGTGAGGCCAGAAATAACAAAGAAAACACTACACAAGTAACCTGTAATGAGACATTTATTGTCGCTTGCTAACTTTGATTTGTTAATCGGTTAAATGAAGATCTCTGAGAAGTAATTTCCTCTGTTAAATGGACAAGATGATTCCTAGACTTTAAATATTTTTTAAGGCTTAAAAAGAAATATCCCATTCCCACTAATACTGAGTTTATCCTGACTCACGGTGACTCTTCATTGGGTTTCCCAGGGTGGAAATCTTTATGGAAGGAAACTGCCCATTTTTCTCCTAAGGACTAAGATTTTCACTAAGGTTAGTGTATTTGAACCACTGACATTTTGGTAAGCAGAACAACATATAATACACTATGCCACCAGAGCTCTTTAAAATAAACACACTTGGCAAATAAGAAGGCATTCAATAATTAGTAATTAGGGAGCTCTGGTGTTTTAGTGGGTAGAGAGCTGAGCCAACAACCTAAATGTCGGCAGTTCGGATCCACTAGATTCTTTGAGAGGGAAAGATGGGCATGCTCCTGTCATGGAATTTACAGCTTCTGAAAACCTATTGGACAGTGAGCTATGAGTTGGTTCCAACTTAACAACAATAAATTGAGTTGAATTAGCAGTGAAATAGTAATTTATTCACCTCATTTTTAAGACTCCTATATGTGAGACATTTGCATTATATCATCATTTTTTAAGCTCAAGAAAACAGAAAAACTATAAAATGTAACTAGCCAAGGTGGGGGGTGGCATGTTCACATGTGTATGCAAACCATGTGGTAGGTCCACTTTGTTTTACTTAGTATTGATGCATAGAGTAAATAACAAAACGTCATTGCACAATGATGCTGTGGGGCCAATCAGAAAGTTTTATAAAAAAGCCTCATTAAACCTCCGTCATGGTTAATAGATGACCTGGGACTCATGAAACTAAGCAGAGAAGTAGAACTTTCCCCCTTTCTTTTTTTTTTTTAATTTTTTTGTTAAATGACATAAAATAAAAATATTTCCGTTCTCTGTTTATATTTTTTGAGTTATTTCTATTTCACCTGTATCTTCTTATAGGTCCATTACTTTGAATGAAAATAGTATCTGTGTAATTTTCTGTAATTTTTTCCCCTTCCTTGTAGCTTATTGTCACTTTGATCTCAGCTTTCAAGATACACGACTTCTCTCGGAAAAACAAATGGCTGATCAAAGTGTACTTGCAGAGGTCAAGTTCAGGTAGGTGGGGCAGTAGCCTTCCTAGATACTTGGTTTGACAATACAATATTTGGCTTGAAATTAAATTGCTACTGAAGCAAAACAAAGGATATGTTTTATGCTAAGCTTTGACGTCTAATAGGGATCAAATGACATGATTGGTTAGCTCAAAACAATAAAATGCACACAAAAATGAATTTTGGGGTGTTTTTGTTTGCTTCTTAATTATAAACAATATTTAACTTAGCTGCCAAATAGGGTCACACTAATTTTTAACAACAAAGTCAGTCTTCTAAATGTAAATTGTTTAAATTGGTAAACATTGTTACAGCATAACACAAACATAATGGAGCATCAAAGGAACCACAACAAAAACCCCCCTGATATTCAATAGTAAAATATATCCAGATCTCTTTTATTCACTGGAAGTAGGAGTGGCATCTACTACCTAAACAACATGCCTCGAGAAACTCATGTTCGACTCGAAGGCAATCAACAACAACAATTTTATTCAAGAAAGTTGGTAAGTGAACAATGCACAAAAGACAAGCTCAACGAATTGAAATTAGAATCATCTTACTCCATGATAAACCTTAAATTCTCCCTGCAGTATTTTCCCACTCTTGGAATTTAATGAATTTTTTAACAAGTTGATAGCATAAAAAGGCAGACATTAATTTAAAATTAAAATGTGTCCCAAAACAAAAGATGGGCATTATTTTGACTTTTATTTCCTACTCATGAAGCTGAAAATGAAATAGTAATATTTTTGGGCTTTTTTATTTATGTAATACAAAATCTGACATAATTCTGCCAAGAACAGCTAATAATCAAGTATGTATTTAAAAAAATTTTTTTGGTTTAAAAATATTCTTCATGAAAAAAGAAAATTAGGATATGTCCTATAATAAAAATGATAAAACAATTTTTAATTTTATCACAGTAACTATATTTTGCTCTAAAAAAACCCAAACAAGGGAACTATCCCAGAATTGTGAAACTGAAAATTTAGAATATTGTCTAATGATATGATGTTGTGGTCTCAAATGAAAATCTAGTTTAAATTTTATGTGTGGGTTTTTTCTAATTTTAGGTTAAAATTTATTTTTAAAATATCTACTTCATAGATGTTTTGTCTTGTTTCATTGATGTAATTTCAACTTTAAAATTATATATATATATGCTATCATATTTTTTTTAAAAATAATTTTTAAAGAACATAGCTGAAAGATTCTAAAAAATTCTAATAATAGCTAATTAATCTGATATGTCCAGGAAAGACACCAGTTTAAATAGGAAGGTAGCTTTTTGAGAACATTAAGGTGAAATGAGTTTTCAAGCAGCAAAATCTAACAAAATCGCAAGGAAGGATATCCTTTCTGAAGTTAACGTGAGGTTTATGAATTAATTGGTGTTTATAAGAATTAGTTGTCTGACAGTATTGCTTTAAATCTTCAAAACACCAGAATGTTGATACACAGAAATTGCCTAAATGTGACTTAAAGCTAAAATAGATCCGCTATTTTCTTTTTTAACTATATTTGGGAGAGAGAAAAAAAATAACCAGAATATCCATTTCTTTCTTTTCTGATGCATTTTGATGTCAGGTGGTCGAATATATCAAAAGCCAGCAAACAGTGAGGGGTATCCTATCCCCATCCCCCGTTTGCTACCTTAAAAAAATTCCTCTAACGGCCAGATTTCTAAAAAATGTGATTTCTGGTTAAGAACTGTGTAAGTCAACTCTCAGCCCAGAGCAAATTTTTATGGCTGAGTAATAAACCCCTGAAATGCAGGGTTCCTAATGGAAGTGCTGACACAGCCCTAACCACTGTGCAGCCGTGTGAATGGCGCCACGATTCTATCTGCTAGGGATTCCTGAAAAAGTTTGCAAAGTACTGTCTTGCTTTTTAAAAAAAACACCAGAGAGAATCTGATGCCAACATAAACATGCTTTTAACCCATTATGTGCTAATTTTCAGAAAAGCTATTAATGGAGAATAAAGCATACAGTACAGCATTAACAGGAAATGTTCTTTCAGACTTCTTTTTGACTTTTAACATGACTTTAATCAATTCCATGAAGCGTGCATAGCAGCTAAATCTGGAGGGGTGTATGTACAGAACTTAAGAGGTTTCATTGCTTTGCTGGAGAAGATGATTCAGAAATTAGGGCGATGGTGGGGATCAGCGCAAATGCATGTGCATGCCCCCCCCCCGCCCCAAATCAGCCAGTACACACGCAGACACAGACACAGACACACACACTCACACTCACACACACACACTTACACACACACACACACACATCCTGACTCACCCAGCATCTTAAGGGTATTATGTAAAAGGAAAAATGGGAGTTTCTTAATGATCCTGGCTTTTTAAATCTCTTGTTACATCTATGATAAGGACATTCTATTCATTGCTTTTGTCTTAAAATGGAAAATTTAGTAGAAAATCTGTGAAAATTTCTTCTGAATAAGCTATCAATGTGTCTTCTATAAGAAGGCTTGTTGGTACACTGAATAAAGAATTTGGCTGCTAACTCTATCGTTAGCAGTTTGAACTTACCAGTTACTCTCTGGAGAAAAACAAGGCAGCCTGCTTCTGCAAAGATTCACAGCCTTGAAAAACCTACAGGTTGTTCTGTTGTGTCCTGTGGGGTTTCTATGATTCAAAATTGACTCATGGCACTGAGTGTTCAATGTGTGTGTGTGTGTGTGTGTGTGTGTGTGTGTAGTTTTGTTGTCATTGTTGCTTGGTTTTGTTTTCTGTGTGTTCTGTGACTGCAACATCAGAAATGTTGTCTCTATGATGGAATACCATGCAGCATGCAGGAACAATGATTTTGAAAATCACTACCTAACTTGGGAGGGACCAGAGAGCATTATGCTAAGTGAATGAACTCAGTCCCATAAGGAAAAATACTGTATAACACCATTATTGTAGAAATAAAAAGATAACTAGTAAAATGTGTGTGAAGATCCAAGGGGAAGAGGGTGGGAGCAGGAGGGTGAGAGGTAATCTTAGGGTTGCACAATTTATTTTATGGGTGAAGAGAAGGGTGGGTAAAGGAAATGGGAAAAATCCAGTTTGAAAACAATGTATATAAGCTTTGTAAGTAAACCAATATAAAATACAAATTTTATCAAAAAAAAAAGAATGTTGAGTCTCCTCCCAGCCCTCAATCACATCCTGGAACTCAACAGTGGTTGGTCTTGTTTAATTCATGAAACCAGGCACAGTGACAAAAAAAGAAGTATCAGAGTTCTTCAAAGTGTTTACAGGAGTATCTTTTTTGATATTTTCATATTTTTTTAATATGCCAGTTGGAGTCCAAATAACTCACCATGCTCCAATTTCAAGCGACAAGCAATGACAAGACTGAGCACAAAGAACTGGTTTATCCATGATCAATATGAATCAGAGGTGCAACATGGTTGAAGTATTCCAGTGTAAATAGTAATTCCATGAAGGTTCACGCTGCATATACTATGTGTCAGGCATCTTCTCATACTAACCTGCAAAATTCTTAGCAAAATCTTAGCAGATAGGGATTATCTCCATTTAGTATATAGGGCTGTTGAGGCACAAAAAGAGAAATCCTTTTACAAAGATCATACCAACTGGCTGAGTCAAGATTGATTTGAGGCCAAGTTCCAAACCCTGTGCTTTTTTTTTTTCCATCACTATTTGGTAGTGTCTACTATTCACCTCAGTTTGCATGAGAAGAATCAAAACAAAATTGAACATACACACTAAACCAAGAGCCAAATTCAATGCTCTTAATTCCAACTTATACCAGCTTTTAAAAATCAGAACATAACTGTCTCATAAGACTTTTCATTCACTTACTCTCATCCCTGTCAACACTGAACAGACTCATAGCTGACCCTCCAGTGGGTTTGGAGGCTGTAAATGGCACAGAAGGAGAATCTCATCTTTTTTCCATGGAGTGGCTGGTGAATCTGAATGGTCAGAGGATGTCACCTTTGGGTTATCAGCACAATTCTCTATGGACTAGGCCCAGATCTCCCGTATGGTTTTGAAGGCTGTTGAATCTTTACAGATACAGACTGCTACATCTTTCACTTATAGTGTGGTTGGTGAGTTTCAAACATTGACCTTGTTGTTAGTACTCAGAACCACTAAGGGCTTACCCCCCCTGTACTACTAGGGTTCCCTAAACATGCATACACAATTCTCAAATGATCTCTCTAACTACAGATAAGATAATTGTTTTTATGTAAACATTACTTTAAGTAAATAGATGTCACCTATAATGGGTATTTGAAATACATTAATTTTCTAATAAGATCACAAAGGAGTGGAGTGAGTACCTGAGACCAATATGTGACCATTTCTACAAAAAAATCTCCAGAATCATAAACGTGTCATGTGTCAGGGCCACAACCATCCGAAACTGGAAAAAGAAGATGAGCTTCTGATCAGTTACACTGATTAGGAGATATGGGAGAATCTTTTCACTTGGCCCTCAGTTATCATATACTACTCTCAATTTTTCAGCAAGAACAACAATTTCAAAATTCTTTTTCTCTCTTGTGTCTTAATGGAGTGAGAATCTGTTGTTATGTAGTTGCTTAGTGTTGTTGAGTTGACTATGACTCATCAAGACCCTAGGAACAGTGAACCCTGCCGTATCCTGTGCCAGTATCCTCCTTGCTGACAGAGTGAGCTCACTGTTACAGTCACTTCATCTCCCTGGGGGGGTTAATTTACCTCCTTTGGGGGGGTCTTCTCTTCCTTTGCTGACCCTCTACCTTTCCAATAATGATATACTTTTCCAAGAAAGGACTGCCCCCCCTAACAATATGCCCAAAGTATGTCAGATGAAATTGAACTCTAAGGAACATTAATTATAAATTTTATTTGTCTTCTTTCCTTCCTTTCATCCATCATTCACCAATGGAGCCAACCAGTGCTATTACTGGAGAGTGGTACAAGGTGAAATATGCAAAAGGACTTTCATTTCAACTATAAATTCAAGTCCATGAATTTATGTATCCTTGGGTAAAGGTTTTAAAATGATCTTATCTTATTTCTCCTTTATAAAAAAAATATTTCTCCTTCATCTACAAAATAGACATAATCACAGTATTTGTTTCATAATGATATTGTGAGGAACAGGTAATATATGTGTAGTTCTTAGGAGAGAACCAAGCACCCAGTGTTTGATAAATCTTAGTTTGTACTGAAGAGCAACAATGTCAGTCTGGAGACTAAGGTGCTCCTGAACCAGTCCATAGCCTTTGCAATTGCTTGCTATGCATCAGAGAGCTGGACAATGACTAGGGATGATAGAAAAAGAATGGATGCCTTTGAGCTGTGGCGTTGGAAAAGAGTATTGAATATACCATGGACTGCTAAAAGAACAAACAGCTTTGTACTGGAGAGGGTGAAGCCAGGCTGCTCCTTGGAGGCAAGAATTCTGAAGCTTCATCTTACATACTTTAGACATGTTACAAAGAGGGACGGGTCCTTGGAGAGGGACATCATGTTTTGGAGGGTGGATGGACAGCGTAGGAGAGGAAGACCCTTGATGATATGGATCAATTCAGTGACTGAGGTAATGGGGGGGGGTCAGAGACAATGAGATTGGCACAGGATAGAGCAGGGTTTAGGGCTACTGTACATAGGGTGGCTATGAGTCGCAAGTGACTCGATGGCACATAACAACAACAAACAACAACATTAAAGGTTAGTCATTATATAAACACATTAAGACGTTGCTCCTCCTTATATGAGCAGAATTGTGGAAGAAACATTTACTTATCCAATTAACAGTAATAATGATTATTGGTGTTTCTAGATTGAACATATGGTAAAATTTCAGAATTTTCTGGCAAAGTGTTTTGTCTTCTTTCCTTTACTATTATCAGTGGGAATAAATGGTATAGTGAACTAGATAACATGACAGCTAAAATAAATGTCTTTTGGTTACACAATAATAACTTAGGATGGGTATTATTTTATTTCTTATATCAATTAACAAATAACTTCACTTTTGGAAATGACAATGTAAGTAAGTTCAATAATCATAGAAAAACTTCTATATGAGAAATTTTACTTACCCATACAGTTCCTTCTCTTAGGAAAATGATTAGTCAATTTATTTCCAAAACTTTACCTTCCGTTACAGCCTGTTTTTTGTCTTGATTTTCAAGTTCAGAATCATGTCCAACTTTAGGTTCAACCATTTCTTCATCTTCCTCATCCTCTAGAAAAGAAAGAAAAAAAAGAAAGAAAAATGAAATATTTTCTTTTCTTTAAATCAAAGTCTTTGGCTGATGGTGGGAGGTAGGGATAAAGGGGAAAGTTCCAATTATTTAGGGCAACTTCTAAGTAAATCAATCCACAACGAATGCCAAGATATATGTTCATGAATATATGAATAAATTCTCTCCAAAGGGGCCTCTTTGATAGTTCCTCTAAGCTGCTTAGAAAACCTCTCAGAGTCGACACCTGCTGCCTCTATCCCCAGGCCTTCACCACATGTGACGGCGAGGAATTGCCTCCATGACCCCTGAAGCTTCTTCTGAGATGGTCCAAGAACAGATCTTAAAACGTTTCCACCTGGAGCACATTCTCCACGGGGAACACCTGCTGGACAGACGACTCATTTCCAATTTAATCCTCACCAAATTAACTTGGTTTTGACCTACAGGAAAGGGTTAAACACAGGTCTGACCCCAGGTCAAATGCCACCGGCAAGGAAACAGCCAGGGATAGGGCCCCCAAAGTCAATGCCATCAGCCCGGGAGAAAGCAACCAACCCAAAATAGCATTTACACATTCAGAGCAGTCCATGCATTAATGTGAATTTAATGAGCACTAACGAACGGACCCAGTGGGCTACCACCACCAGATGTTAGAGTGCCCTTCCTGCCCTATGCAAATATGTGCTCTTTCCTCCTTTTCCCTCAACCTCCCTCTCATTATGGAGCTCTTGAACTCATCAGTCACAGCATCGAAGACGTAGAGGGGAGCCAAGGTGCCATAAGATAAGAAAACTTTGTAGAAAAAGAAAATGACATGAAAAATGAAAACTTGCTTCCACAATTTTATTTTCCTTCTTTAATAAAACTCTTTCCCTCTTATGTATTACAGTCAATGTAGCTAACTGATTTCTAGTTCAAATAGAGTGTGGAAATCATTTCAATCTCCACATCCCATACAGTCATTCAAATTTGCATTCGTTCAATAAATAGTTAAGGCTCCTAAGGTCTCAGGCTCTATGAATGGTCCTAGTCCCATCATGATCATTCCTGATAACTCAATTCCATGATAACTCAACTTTCAGCACCAAAATACTTAAAGAATGCATTATAAACCCATACTTAAATGCCGAAATAAATATTTATGGCCTGAAAAGGAACCCTAACAAGTGCTGACCATATTAAGCAAATGATTTGTGGAAGAAATAGCAACTTTAAAAATGTGGATAAGTAAAGTGCAGCGCTGCAATTTAGGGATTAAACTTAAAAATAGAAATGCTGTCTGTGTGTGTGTGTGTGTGTGTGTGTAGATTATAGAATCCGTCCTTCTACTTTATACCCACACCATATACATATGTGAGGAAAGCTCTGGTGGCACAGCACAGTCCATAGGGAGATGCCCTGCTCATCCAAAGGTGGCACTTCTCTCTCTGATGGTTCAATCCCACTAGCTGCTTCGACAGAGAAAGATGGACAGTCTTTTCCCATTCAATTGGTAGCCTCCCAAAAACCCACTGGAGGGTCAGCATTGAGTCAGTTTCAACTTAACACCAATGGGGACTGGGTACATACATGGGAGACAAAAATGTGAAACACTTTGAAGGGCAATTGTCATTTATTATTAGCATATTATTATATATACATATTATTAAGTACAATATGTACATATTACTAAATATATGGCCACTCATGTAAGATAAAGTTTGTACTTCAATTTTTGCAAAGAACATTGATGTACCCAGATATATCCACAAACACACTTTTAAAATACTGTTAAAAAATCTGAATGTGTACTTATATATAAATCTCTATTTGCAGTATACTCATAATAAATCTGCTTGCAAGGTTTACTATGAACCAGCCAACCACTTGTTCTATCTCCCTTGATCTAATTTTCATAACTGACGGTGATTTCAATATATCAATATCTTGGAATTTAAAACAAATTTATTGCCCTTGAGTCAGAACTGGCTCATAGCTGATCCTCTGTAGAGGGGTTGTTTTATTCTAAATTTTCTACTACTTTATTTAAAAAATTTGAATACATTGTTTTCAAAAACAAATTCCTTCAATTTCCCTCACCCCCTCATTGAATTGTATAGTCTCATGGTTAATCCTCTCCTCCCCCTGCACATTCTCATTCTCATCCTGCTTCTGCCTCTCCCATCCCTCCTAGATCCTTATACTCATTCTACAATAACGATCTCATACAATATTTATCCTTGTAGGACTGAGTTAGTTCACTCAGCATAATGCTCTCCAGTCCCTCCCAAGTTAGGTAATAATTTACAAAATCATTGCTTCTGTGTGCTGCATAGAATTCTGTTGTGTGAATGTACCATAATTTCTTAATCCATTCATTTGTGGTGGACATTTGGGCTGTTTCCATGTTCTTGTGATGGTGAATAATGCTGCCATGAACACTGGTGTACAAATCTCCATTTGTGCCTCAGTTCTCATTTCCTCAGGGTATATTCCAAGCAGTGGAATAGCTGGGTCATATGGAATTTCTATATTCAGCTTTTTGAGGACGTGCCAAATTGCCTTCCAGAATGGTTGTACCATTTTACAATTCCACCAACAATGTATAAGAGTTTCTTTCTCATCACATCCTCTGCAACATTTTTTACTTGCTGCCCTGTTAAACTTTGCCACTGTTACTGGAGTGAGATGATACCTCATTGTGGTTTTGATTTGCATCTGTCTTACTGCCAGTGATTTGGAGCATTTCTTCATGTGTCTGTTTGCCATTAGAATATTTTCCTCAGTGAAAATTCTTTTCATATCTTTTGCCCATTTTGTGATTATATTAGCAGTCTTTTCCTTGTGGAGGCCCAGAAGTATTTTGTAAACTTTTGTTATAAGACTCTTGTCTGAGATGGTATTACCAAATATTCATTCCCAATCTGTAGGTTTTCTTTTCACCCTGTTGGAAAAAGGTTTTGATGCACACATGGATTTAATCTTTAGAAGGTCCCACGCATCAATTTTATCCTCTTTAGATAGTGCATTTCTGGTTGTATTTGGCAGTCTCTTTATACCTTGAACTAGTGCTTCTAAGCTTGATTCCAGTTTGTCTCTTTAGAGGCTGTAAATCACACAGGAGTAAATAGCCAATCTTTCTCCTGCAGAGCCACTAGTAAATTTAAACCACCCATATTTTTGCTCCATAGGACAAAGATGGGCAGTCTTCTGTGTAATTTATTTACTGCCTTGGAAAACTTACTGGAGAGTCAGCTATGAGTTGGTTCTGGCTCAATGGTAAAGAGTCTTTGAATTGTTGTTGGGTGCCTTTGAGCAGACTACAATTCATTGCAACCCCATGAATCTTCCCCTACCCTGAACCATCATCACAGTCTCTGTCACGCTAAGCCCACTGAAGTAGTCACTACATCAATACACCTCATGGATGGTCTTTCTTTCACTAACCCTCTACCTTTCCCAGCATGATGTCTCTCTCCACAAACCCATGGTCTTTCCAAGTACTTTCTATGCATCAGAGAGTTGGACAATGACAAGGGATGATAGAAGGATAATTGATGCCTTTGATCTGTGGTGCTGGAAATAAGTACTGAATATACCATTGACTGCTAGAAGAACAAACAAGTTCATCCTGGAGAGGGTGAAGCCAGGCTGATCCTTGGAGGCAAGGATTCTGAAGCTTTGTCTGACATACTTTGGACATGTTTCAAGGTTGGATCAGTCCTTGGAGAGGGGCATCATGCTTGGGAGGGTGGAAGGACAACACAGGAGAGGAAGACCCTTGATGAGATGGAGTGATTCCGTTACTGGGGTAATGAGGGTAGGTATGTCAGAGACAATCAGGTTTGCTCAGGATAGAGCAGGGTTTAGGGCTGTTGTACATAGTGTCACTATGACTTACAGGCAACTTGAGAGCACATAACAACAACACAACAACAACAACAATATCTTAAATAGTATCAAGTTCCCACCTTTTATAGATATTACTGTTGCTGTGTACCATCAAGTCAGAATGGACCCAAAGCTAACCCTCCCATAGGTTTCCAGAGACAGTAAATCACATGGGAGAAGTCCATCCTTCTCCCATAGAGCAGTTGGTGGATTCGAACCACATCCCTTTGATATTGCAGCATAGTTTCTTACCACAAGGCTACCAGCATAGTTGCTATATTAAATAGTATTAGGTTACCACATTTTCTAGATACAGGGCATGCTAGTTTTCTTGTGTTCTGATAATAGAAACACAAGCATATGGCTTTAGTAAACTGTAAGAAATTTATTTTCTCATAGTTTAAAGAGCTCTCAAAACTTATTGCCATAAGAAGTAACTCACAGCTGACCTTCCATTGGGTTTCCAAGGGTGCAAATTCACAGAAGAAGATCGCCCATGCTGGTGGTTTTGAACTGTGCCAGTGGCTCAGCCTTTCGGCGAGCAGCACAACCCTCTATAGACTGCACATCAGAACTCGCTTCTTTTGGTGCTCGAAGTCTGAAATCAGGGCACTGGCTCAAAGGGAAAGCCACCTCTGTTGAACCTTGTCTCTTCAGCTTCCACTTGCTGATTTTTTGGAGATCTCCATGTGTCTTGATATTTAGTTTATCTCATTTTTCTTTTTTAAAAAAATTTGCTTAAATTCTCTCTACTATTTCAAAAGAAATTGACCAAAGACACACCATACATGAATCCTGCCTCATTAACCAAAGACAGCTACTTACAAATGACATTATAACCATAGGCATAGAGATTGACCTCATACATTTACATAATTTGCACCACATATTTTGAGGAACAATTCAATTTATAACATAAACATTTTTATTTGCAACATTATTTGAGGAGGTAAACAGGCAAGATGATAGATTAATTTAGTGATTACTAGAAAATAACAATTCTGTCAAGGGCTTGACAGTAAAAAGGCGTAGATTTGTAATACTCATGTGCCATTTTATGCATAGTATTATGAGGGAAAACAGTGGATCATCTAATTCTTTAACTAGAAAAACTATCTCCTAAGAATTT